GTTAAACCACAGAGCCTAGGACTTGCCGATCAGAAGGTCGGTGGTTCGAATCCCTGCAACAGGGTGAGCTCCTGTTGCTCGGTCCCTGCTCCTGCCAACCTAGCAGTTCGAAAGCACATCAAAGTGCAAGTAGATAAATAGGTACCGCTCCGGCAGGAAGGTAAACGGCGTTTCCATGCGCTGCTCTGGTTCGCCAGAAGCGGCTTAGTCATGCTGGCCACATGACCCGGAAGCTGTACGCCGGCTCCCTCGGCCAATAAAGCGAGATGAGCGCCGCAACCCCAGAGTCGGCCACGACTGGACCTAATGGTCAGGGGTCCCTTTACCTTTAAGCCCTACTGGGCTCAACGGGACTCAGTGGCTAAGTGAAGCTTGCACAGGATCCAGTTCAAAAAGGGTAAAGGATCAGCCCCCCAAGTCACTTCCTCTGGAGTAATTCCACTCAAGTGAGCATTACTACAAGAGGAGTACAAGCTCTGGAGTGAGTTCCCGAAGTTAGGCTGTGGGGCAGTTTAGATCTTCCTGTCCTGTCCTTTTGCTTTATTAGGTATGAGAAGCCACCTGTTTGTCAGGAAACACATCCAGTCCTCAGTGGAGCAGAATGAGGAAAGCGCAGCAAGGTGGCATAAGTTATGAGAATTTCAAAGACAACAACAATTTTTAAAATGTTAATTTTTGGTTTGCCATCATTTTCCTATGCATTTTCCTGGGACTGAGGAAACCTCCCCCCTCAACCACCATGGTGCTTACTTCTGCGCAAACATACTCCGGCTTAGCTTGTAAAAGAAATGTGAGTCAAACTTCCAAGCAAAGGCCTGGCACTCGGATTTTAAAAACACATTAGATGGAACTAGCAAGGGAATTGTAAAAGTTATATTTGCTCAGTTTGCACACACACGAACACACAGTGCTGGAGAAAACGCTCATAGTGCCAGTGGAATGCTAGGTTCTGACATTAAAAAAAACCACAACCTGCACCAAACCAACAGCTTTCTCCAAATAAATTGATACCCAGCTAATTCAAAATTCCAGAAGACTCAGCTGATTGGTGATACATATGTATGTGAATGGGTACCTAGTATTATATATGAAAACTAACTAACGCTACATGCAGCTATTCTAATTCTACACTTTCATCCTAGGCAACTGCTTGGTACCCACCAAATGTATTCAACACCCGCTTCTTATCTGACATGTTTCCAATAAGACTCGCTTGAATACAGTAGTTGGTTCATATTCTTAACATTACTTGGAGGCTGTTGATATATGTAACTCACAAGATGATTGATGCACACAGTATGAATTTTAAATCTTTACAGTATGTTCAAGGTGCTCATTCTTCCTGTCTTCGAGATGATTGTAATAAAAAAATGAAAAATGTTCTTTTACCATAATGGGCAGAGGTGATTGGATGGCATAAGGGGATAATGCATTTTTTTTTTTGCACGGGAATGGACAAGGCAGAAAATATTCTTAACACGAGAAATTGGGGAGACGAATAATATAAGCCTCTATCAAACACGTATCTAGTTTCATATTTTCTACAATGTCCTCATTTATATCAAGCTGCTCAAGACTTGTGAAATTCTGTGATGGATATTTTATGAACAAACTAAGTTATGTGCCATAGGTTGGTTTTTTCCCTTTTTTGTAGAAAAGAGTTTAGCATAATATTTGCATGGGGTTGTTCTGGAACCTGATGCTGTAGACCCATTAAGAAAAGGCGATCAAATAAATTATATAGGCAGATGTAAATACCCATTCCTGATCACATGTCATTAGCAGGCATTCATGTAAATTCTTATTCTCTGAAAAAGTGATCCTACATTTGGTACATTCTCTCATGTACAAAAGGCTCATTAAGGAATAAGTAAAATTGGGGAATTTGCATTTCTGGGAGATGCGAACGCCCACCAATTTTTCCTTTTCCTTTATTGTTTTTTCAGGAATGAGTCTTAAATGGAAACCAAATAAAATACATCACACTCTTTATCATTATGCAAACAGTGGATTATACCCTAAATCTCCTAAATCAACAAATCTGAGTTTTCCCTGTTCACTAACTTCAATGGGTCTGTTCTGAGTAGGAATAACATTGGACACAACCCCACATCTATAACATTACATATTTCAATTATGGGCTCACTTCTGCTTGAAGTGGACCTGAGGGTTTCTGGATGTTCCTACCTGCTTTGAGTGACAGATCCTTGCTGTGCCCAATATCAGAAGCTACTCTGGACACTTTCATCACTTCTGAAAGTGGCTTGCTGTGTGGCATTTGGAAAAAGGTTCTTATGATGACACATAAGCACAAAGCCTTCTTGTGGGCACAGAATGAAGGTTGTGTAGTTATTTGCATCCCGCCCTTGTAAAATCATATTTTATGGTTATATTTTATAAATACCTTACTGTTTTACTCCCCATCTGGCCCATAAAATGTCCCTGAGTTCAATCACAATAAAAGCAGTGGAAAATACTGCTTAGAACCTCTCTTTCTTTCTTTCTTTCTTTCTTTCTTTCTTTCTTTCTTTCTTTCTTTCATATTTATTACAGTTTTTATTTATTTATTTACAGAAACACTCTGAGCATGTGCAGTTTCATATTTTAAAAAACTCACCTAAATCATAGCACCATCATGACTTACAGGAATACAACGGAGCTCACCTCCCCTGCTTTAATGCTAAACACATTTACTGGGGAATAATAAGAACCATTTTGTTGTAGAAAAGGGTAATATATTTTAAAAGTAACAATAATAAAAAGAGCATCTGTAACTACGGACATGCCTGGCTGGCTGCTCCCTGACTACAAAACTTTTTTAAAAAAAAAATAATAATAAGAAGAAGGAAAGTTTCCTCTATGAGGAAAGATTGCAGTTTTCGGGACTTTTCATTTTAGAGAAAAGGCAAGTAAGAGGCAACATTATATAAGTTTATAAAATTGTGCATGGCACAAAGAAAGTGGATAGAGAAGAGTTTGTCTCCCCTCTACTTATACTAGAACTTGCAGACATCCAATTACTGTAAGCTGAATGTTGGTAGGTCCATATTTCTTCATGAAATACGTGGTTAAACTATGGTACTCATGAGGCATTGGTGGCCACTAACTTGGATGGCTTTAAAAGAAGATCAGACAAATTCAAGGGGGTCAAGGCTATCGGGGGCAATATGCGTCTGAATTCGAGTTGCCAGGAATTGCTTGGTGGGCTGTTGCACTTGTGTCCATCTTGCAGGCTTCCCAAAGGCATCTGGTCGGTCACTGTGATGCTGGGTCACAAGGGCCATTGACCTGATCCAGTAGGCTCATCTTATTTTCTTATATATACAGTGGTACCTCGGGTGGCGCTGTGGGTTAAACCACAGAGCCTAGGACTTGCCGATCAGAAGGTCAGCGGTTCAAATCCCCGCAATGGGGTGAGCTCCCGTTGCTTGGTCCCTGCTCCTGCCAAGCTAGCAGTTCGAAAACACGTCCAAGTGCAAGTAGATAAATAGGTACCACTCCGGCGGGAAGGTAAACGGTGTTTCCGTGTGCTGCTCTTGTTTGCCAGAAGCGGCTTAGTCATGCTGGCCACATGACCCGGAAGCTGTACACCGGCTTCATCGGCCAATAAAGCGAGATGAGCGCTGCAACCCCAGAGTCGGCCACGACTGGACCTAATGGTCAGGGGTCCCTTTACCTTTACCTCAGGTTAAGAACTTAATTCATTCTGGAGGTCCATTCTTAACCTGAAACTGTTCTTAACCTGAGGTACCACTTTAGATAAGGGGGCCTCCTGCTGCCGCCGCGCCACCGGAGCATGATTTCTGTTCTCATCCTGAAGCAAAGTTCTTAACCCGAGGTACTATTTCTGGGTTAGCGGAGTCTGTAACCTGAAGCGTCTGTAACCCGAGGTACCACTATACACTCTTCATAAGCCATTGACTTTGCTGCTTTATTATATTTTTTTTTAAAAAGGTACAGCTGATTTCTTAGCCTTGCAGATGGCAAATTCGTCCCCTTACCTTGTGCAAAATCACTTCAGGACTAACCTTGGCTCACAGAAGCCCTCTGTGTCGTCTCTAAGTATAGTGTTGACCTTTTCCTTGGTTCCTTCTTCTTTTGCTGCGTTGGAATATCAGTTGGCAACGGAAACAGCTTGAATATGCACTACGCTTTAAAAAGCGCCGCATTACAACAGCCAGGTTCCTTTGCCAGATAATTAGGCCGTGACTCCAAAGATGCCTGCTAGGAAGTATCCCACCGAATTCAATCCAGAGAGACTTGCTTTCTGAGCATCCGCACCTAGGATTGAGGTTACAAAGGTATCTTGGTGGGTGAAGATCGAGTTTAGGGCACAGGGGGACCCAAACGACATTGTATCACCCACATTGCAAAATACAAAAAAGAAGAGAAAAAGTAGATAAAGCCAGTAAGTAAAAATAAAATAAAAAGTAGATAAAGCCAGTCAGTAAAAATAATGGAATATACCTGTATCTAGCCATGTTAGGAGTGTAATCCTACACATGCTTACCTGGGAGTCAGTTTAATTGAATTATGAACTATTCACAGCGGATGTGTATAGCATTGCACTGTTTAATGTCCCATTCCAGGAGGATGACCTAAAAAAGGACCAGATTTCCTCCAAAATGATTCCTACACAGGAATATAACTCAGCAGATTGTCGCCCACATAACCTCCAGGTAAAGACCCTCCTTTGATTATGAAAGCACAACACATAAGGGAGGGCAGTGTATCGCCCCCTAAAAGGAAAGCCACCCCCAAGGAGATCTATCCGGGCTTTTGGACTAAAATGAGATATCTAGATGAGGAGGAACTAGGTTTCAACCAGACAGAACATCCTCCGGAAGAGGCCTTACAAAACAAAGGTCCTATGACTACTAATGTGAGCATCTTACATCCACTGTCCGAAATCAACTGAATCCCTGGGCGGCTCCCCGTGTAAGGATACCACCGGAATGTCCTGTTGATTTCAATAGGAAATATGTGTGCTTTACATGAGAGGGGCCATAGCTCAGTGGAGGAGCATCGGCCTTGCATGCAGAAGGCCCCAGGTTCAATCCCTGTCACCTCCAGGTAGAGCTGGGAGAGAGACTCTGGTCTGAAACCCTGGAGAGCTTCTGCCAGTCAGTGTAGACAATACTGAGCTAAATGGACCAACGGTCTGACTTGATATAAGGCAGCTTTCTGTGTTTCCTCATCCCATTGTGAACAATGGGACTTCAAAGAGCTTGGAATTTGTTGGGAACATGGCCGTGATAAATATGGAAACATACAGTTTGCATCAAGGGCGCATTTTCATTAAAAAACCCAGAAGGTGTCAAGGAGATGATGTGGCATTTTAGCTTCACTAAAATAGACTTGTGTTCATGCAGGACCTCTTTTGAAGACTTTGGCCTGTCTTCTCTTCATGGCTTCTTAACGATATGGACACTTTTCATATGTGAGTGCAGACAATTGTCTCCATGGTCCCCATGAGCTGGGACTTTGATATGAAGGAAGGGTTTTACAGTAACACTCCTGCCTGCTGCAGTTTCTGTTGACCCCCCGCCCAACTCCAACCCCTACTGCTGCTATTTGCTCTAGGAAGGAGATGTCAATGGCAGTTTCCTTTCTGGTGTAAATATACAGGTGAAACTCGGAAAATTAGAATATTGTGGAAAAGTTCATTTATTTCAGTAATTCAACTTAAAAGGTGAAACTAATATATGAGATAGACTCATGACATGCAAAGCGAGATATGTCAAGCCTTTATTTGTTATAATTGTGAGGATCATGGCGTACAGCTGATGAAAACCCCAAATTAACAATCTCAGAAAATTAGAATATTAAATGAAATCAGCAAAACAAGGACTGCAAATAGAGCAATATTGGACCTCCGAGAAGTAGAAGCATGCATATGTACTCAGTACTTGGTTTGGGCCCCTTTTGCATCAATTACTGCCTCAATGTGGCGTGGCATGGATGCTATCAGCCTGTGGCACTGCTGAGGTGTTATGGAAGACCAGGATGCTTCAATAGCAGCCTTCAGCTCTTCTGCATTGCTCGGTCTCATGTCTCTCATCTTTCTCTTGGCAATGCCCCACAGATTCTCTATGGGGTTCAGGTCAGGCGAGTTTGCTGGCCAATCAAGCACAGTAATCCCATGGGCACTGAACCAGGTTTTGGTACTTTTGGCAGTGTGGGCAGGTGCCAAAGTCCTGCTGAAAATGAAGTCAGCCTCCCCATAAAGCTCGTCTGCGGAAGGAAGCATGAAGTGCTCCAAAATCTCCTGGTAGACGGCTGTGTTAACCCTGGACTTAATGAAGCACAGTGGACCAACACCAGCTGATGACATGGCTCCCCAAATCAACACAGACTGTGGAAACTTCACACTGGACTTCAAGCATCTGGCATTGTGTGCCTTCCCCTTCTTCCTCCAGACTCTGGGTTCTTGGTTTCCAAATGAGATGCAAAAGCTGCTCTCATCAGAAAAGAGATTTGGGGAGCCATGTTAGTTTCACCTTTTAAGTTGAATTACTGAAATAAATGAACTTTTCCACGATATTCTAATTTTCCGAGTTTCACCTGTAAGCCTGGGGGGAGGGTATAGTTGTCAGGAATGCAACAGGCCTCATGTGCTGAAGCTCCAAATTTGAAGTGTCCACTCCTCTCAGCTTCTATTTAAAAGGAGGGAAAACTCGACAGATTAAGTGCAGTCGTGTCTGGCCCCAAATACATTCTTATCCTACTGTGGATGCAGGTGATTCGCTTTCCCTCAAAAGGTACTGGATGATGTCAAAGATACAGTTCTTCTCAGTATGAGGAAAAACAATGAAGAACATGGTTTATACTGGATATTTCAGTGCCCTACATCACCCCACCAGTTCTGGAGTGTGAAATAATCCTGTTCTGCAATCACCTAGTTAACGGGCACATTGTTGTTGCGTATTCAGCTTCCCATATCAGGAATCTGAAAATGTGTCACACTTAACCACACACACGCACAGCCCTGAAATTTCAGCCCTGGAAACAATTAGATTTAATTCGGAGAAGATAAATATAAGATTTCATGGTAAGCTGTTAATCAGAAAAAAAATACGTTTCCGCTTGAATGCACACTAAATCATTAACCTCTTAAGGGCTAGCGAGTCTGACCATAAATAAAACCTTAATGGCTAAGTAATTGCAGGCACCTGCACAGGTTAGAACACAGGTCCTCCTTTCCTTCGAGGCCTTGATACCGGTTAGTTTAGAAAAGTATTAAGCGCCGCAGGTCTGTTGACGGAATTGCAGGATGGGCTGTATTAGAGGTCTCCAGTTCTGAAGCACCGGTGATTAATGTGGCCTGGCCAAACTTCACTCTAGACCAGGGATGAGGAACATTTGGCCCTCCAGAAATTTCCAACAACTCCCACCAGCCCTAGCCAGCATGTCTAACTGCCAGGGGTGATGGGAGTTGTGGTCTACAACATCTGTAGCGCACCATGTTGGCTATCCCTCTTTTAGGCTTTCTGTATCATAATCTGCCAATGTGTTTTTTCTTTCTTTCTTTCTTTTTTGTATCATTAGTTAATAAAACTAGGACAAGCAGCCCAAACACCTGGGAGGCTGGGGAAGAGGAGTTATAACCTTTTGCGGCATTTTCCTTTTGATGCCACCAACCTTCTTTGGAGAAGAGATGAGGGAGCTAGCTGTGAGCTGTCTAGCCTGGTAGGAAGAGCCTCACTCACTCTGAACTGTATGTTAAGCCAGACTGTTGTGACCTCCTGGAGTAAAACAAAATTATAGTAATAGTAGCATGGGTTAGCTTGATATTTATTTCTTTACTAGCAGCCTCGTACCCAGCATTCCTTGGGAATTCTAAGAAACTAGAACATAATTTCAGTTTCAAAACTGGTGGTTAAAATTAGTGCATTTCTGAAATATTTAGTCCTCCATCTTGATTCAAAATGGTGTCCGATTGTACACAAAAACCTGGAAAAACTTAGAATTATATTTATTATTATTTATTTATTTATGCATTTTACATATCTTAGTACATCGATTTTACAGTTGTCATTGTTTATCTTATAATTTAGAATGATCATAATGCAAAATTTGGTTATGATATCTCAGGCGTCCAAATTGCACAGTGTACAAACAGCTTTCCAAATTTAATCCTGGTTTTCATTTGTAATTTCCATGTGTTAAATCCAGATTATTTCATTTTAATCATGACCAATGTGAGAAAAAGCCTTCTCGTATGGATTGAGAACTCAAGTCTTTGTGGTGCAATGGGTCAGTGCTTCTGGCTGTTAACCAGAAGGTTGCTGGATCAAGCCCAACCAGGGATGGCTGTGGGCAGGATTCCTGCACTGCAGGAGGTTGGACTAGATTACCCTTGGGATCCCTTCCAAGCCTATAATTCTATGATTCTATTCAATGTTAGTTCTACTCAGAGTAATCAATTGAAATCAATACACATTACTAACTTTGGTTTATGAATTTAACTAGGTCTACTCTGAATGTAACTTAATTGGATGCAAATGGAAAGTTGTAGCCTTGTGTGAGTTTGTGAGTCCTGTTGCACTACTTTTGAGAGTATACTGAATTATAATATATATATATAGCACATGTTGTCCTCAGGACATCACTGGAACTAACCAAGGGTTACTAACCTCTCACACCAACCTCTCTCAACCTCTATACCATTGTGGTCAAAAGAGCCAGAGTAATGGAATGATTTGGTATATTCAGCAAAAAAACATACGTAGCACACTATGAAATACTTTTTTCTAATCTTACTGTTGTGTTCAGAGGGCCTGGAACTCCTAGGAATAAGGATCTGAGTGTCGATTACGCTTAACACATACAGATGTTTTCTAAGAGAATGGCAATGCCTTTCTATTTGTTTTCTTACACTATCTTTCCTCCTTCGTGGAATTCATGGTGGCATAACAGTGGCTCCCACCTGATCACCCATTGAACCAGAACCAGATTGTCTTAGCTGCAACAAGATGGTGGCCTCAGGCGCCTGAGGCCAATGCAATTTGTTTTCAACTGTTTTCAATATTATATTTTATGTGGTGGAGGGTGGATCATAATCATAATCACCCTATCCTGGGACCTACTGAAATAGGCTGAGAGTCGGTGGGCATTCCCCTCATGCAATGGGACTTCTCCTTCCTCTCCTCCTGCCCTGCAGTCCACAGATCTGCTCCTGAAGTTTGGGAGACTGCCTGGAGCAGATTTTGGAGCCATGTGGGAAGTTGTATGCAACCATGAGCTAGCCTTCCTTTCAGAATTTACAGCAACAGGATCTACCATGTCTTTTCTGTCTCCTTCTAAATTCCAAGGACCAGCCTGTGATGAATGCAAGGCATTCTGAAATCCTGGCCTGGATCTTGGAACGGATCTGACCACAAACATTGCACCTACTACTTAACAGTAAGTAGAAAGACTCTCTCTTTTTTTTTTTAATATAATATTTATTGGTTTTACAAAAATTCCAAAAGATACAAAAATACAAAAATTCCACAGACAAAAAAACAACAATGACAGTGACAAAAAAAAACAAAGATAACAATATCCATAACAAAGAAAGAAAAAAGAGAGAAAAGAAAAAAAAGAAGACAGAAAAATTTAAAAATTTATACTTTCATTTGACCTTCTTATCTTTCCTTAGTTCTTTGACTTCCCCGCATCTCCCCTCTTGTATTTCCATTTAGAGACTCCTTTCAGCAAATCCTTACCCTCCTTCCTTTATCCTATCTCAAAAAACTTAATCTATTTATAAATAAATATTTTTACAACCTTATCAATCAAATATTCCATGCTCTTAAACTTATTTTGCCAATACCAATTATTTTCAATCAGACCTCAATTTAACATTCATTAATTTTATAGTATTTCTGTAGATAGTCTTTAAATTTCTTCCAGTCTTCTTCCACCGACTCTTCTCCCTGGTCACGGATTCTGCCAGTCATTTCCGCCAATTCCATATAATCAATTACCTTCATCTGCCATTCTTCCAGAGTGGGTAAGTCTTGTGTCTTCCAATACTTTGCGATAAGTATCCTTGCTGCTGGAGACTCTCACCTTCTCCAGACCGAGCAAGGAGTATTTTTCTCTGTGTAACTTTGGTGGGAAGTCCTTTACGTGAAGTGAAGGGAGGGCTGGAAGAGGACCCTGGATTTCCATGTACTTAGTGGGGCCTTCCTCGTTTTATGGCTTTCTGGCTTGATTTTTAGCAGATGTCGCTGGTGGAGTTTTCTGAGAGAGGCAATCTAGAGAGGAACAGGGGTATTCTCTTTCAGGAGAGAGATTTTACACCCTGAACAGCTTAGTTCAGGTAAGTTAATGTCAGGAAAGAGACGTCTTTGAAATCTAAAGTTGTGAATATGCTGCTGAACTATATCCTCTGGAACTAGATAAAAGGGAAATGAATCTGGCCTCTTAGAGCAGTTATGGTGGCAAAACAACTGGTACTTTAGTGTTGGAACGACAGATCAACACCTCCGATAGTACAATGGACTGAGCTTATAGTGCACATAGCATATAGTGGCAGAAAGGAAAGTATCTAGCCATTTGCTGTCTATATGAAAACTTGTTTGCAAAGCATGAGGATGTATTGTTCTGAGCTATCAAGGAGTCAGCTACAAACAGGTTGTGTTGGAGACCCATGGATGCCCTTTCCTCTCCCAAACCTTCCTCTCCCTTGTATTCTGCCTCCGCCCACCCCAATGTTCATGCATTTTGAGTGTTGTTTTGGAAAGAAAAACGTTTTCTCATACAAGAAAGTGTGTGTGCATATGTGCATGAGAAAAGGTTGTATTCAAAGTAATACTAAAAGCAAGTATTATAAAGCAGAAATGTATAAAGCAACTACAGTTATTTGTCTCTTTTATATCCCTTGTTTGTTGTGCAACAATATTGCATGTCATATCTATGAAAAAGCAAAATAAATAAATCAAGTCATTCCCTTCTAAGTTTACTTTGCCATTGGTTCCTGGTAGGCTGCGTGTTCCACTGGGGGTGACTTGTTTTTAATAATGTGCATCTCTTGGAGCAAGTAGTTCTGGATCAGAGACCAACCTTGCTGAGATGCTGTAGGAGTCATGAGGTGATATTGCCCAGTGTGGGAAGGAGTGTGTATGTAAAATTTTGTGTGTGTGTGTGAAATTTTGGCCTCAGACAGGGCGCCATATTACCAAGGTATTCCCCTGCTTCTGGGACCCAGTGACACAAGCTGTAGGTTCTAATGCATGAAGTAAAAAATTTAACATCGCACCTATCACACCAAAATGAATACAATCAGCTGGGTGTCTTGAATCTTCTTGTCATGTGTAATGGTCCCAAGATACTCATACCCAGGAGGACTCCCCTGCTCAGCGCCTGAGGGCCCCAGTCCTGCCAGTCCTGAGAGATTGGCTCCCAGTACGTTTCTGAGCACAATTCAAAGTGTTGGTGCTGACCTTCAAAGCCCTAAACGGCCTCGGTCCTGTATACCTGAAGGAGCATCTCCATCCCCATTGTTCAGCCCAGACACTGAGGTCCAGCGCTGAGGGCCTTCTGGCGGTTCCCTCATTGTGAGAAGTGAGGTTACAGGGAACCAGACAGAGGGCCTTCTCGGTAGTGGTGCCCACCCTGTGGAACGCCCTCCCATCAGATGTCAAGGAAATAAGCAGCTATCCTATTTTTAAAAGACATCTGAAGGCAGCCCTGTTTAGGGAAGTTTTTAATGTTTAATGCCTTATTGTTTTAACACTCGATTGGGAATTTTGATTTATGTGAAAATTGTTTTCCATCTGGTTGTGCATTTTTCTGATGTGGTTTATTTATTGTTTATGACTTTTGTAATTATGTAAATCTTGTCATGTTGTAAGCTGCCTTGAGTATTGTTTTTAACTGTGGAAAGGCGGCATACAAATAAAATGATGATGATGATTTCTTGTGTTGCATTACCAGTGATTAAGCACATTTATATACACACATATATTTTAAGCAGTAACAGATAGCTTAATCATTGCATATTGAAAGCCCAAGGTCCAAACACAAGAGATTTTGTAGACTCAAATGCGATAAAAAAAATATGGCAGCAAACTGTTGTGTAGAATGTCTTACATCTTTCCGATGATTCTGTCTCTGCACTTCTTCAGAGCTGACAGAATAGCGAACAAGAATGAAGCAACCTCTGTTGCCCTATGGGCAACACCATCAAATATGACAGACCCTGTGGGTAACATTATATATTGCTTTCTCTGACAACCTGGAGAAATATGGCTTTGTCAGTAGCAATAGGACAAAGGTCTTAGAAGAAGTAAAACATATTTTAAGGGCACATCAGTCCTCTGTGCTTTGTAGCCTGCCTCTTCATAAGATCGGGGTGGGGTGGCGTAAGTATGAGAGTTCTTTCCTGCAAAGTCCATGGTGGGGGTCTAGGGTCAAATTAAGTCCTGCCCAACAAAACCCTTTTCAGGGGCTAAGATTATATTAAGGTTCAGAATGTGAAATCCCCATTGAGTGAGTGCTGCTGTAGCAGTTAAGGAACAAGTTTCGGACTCAATACTTTATGTCTTATATCTAGAACGTCCCCGGTCACTGGATGCTGCAGCAAACAGGAAGTAGTTATTGACATCACTTTAGGAGTTCATTCACCACTAGATCATGAGTGGAGAGCCTGCGAAACTCCATAAGTTATCACAGAAATCACAGAATCATACCGTAGAGTTGGAAGGGATCCTGAGGATCATCTGGTTCAACTCCCTACAATGCAGGGATATGCAGCTGTCCCATACAGGGATCATGTTATGTACTGAAGTTCACACCCTGGGCCAGCAGGGGGATACTGTAGATAGTTATGCAAATGAAGGACCGAAAGTGACGTTCAGTGATTGGATAGTTTGTATGCAAATGAAGGATCGAAAGTGACGTTCAGTGATTGGATAGTTTTAGAAAATGGCAGCAGTTACATTGTTCTGGAGCTCTATATAAGCAGGCTGACTGAGCTCCTCAGTCAGTTCTGTTCCAGCTTACAAATAAAGAGCTGCTTTGGAAGAGTCGCTGTGTCGCCTGCTATGTCTACCCACAACTTAACAGATCGAACCTGCAATCTTGGTGTTATCAGCACCATGCTGATATAAAGCCTTAAATAGCTCAGGACCGCAATACCTCAAGGACCGTCTTTTCCCATATGAACCTACCCGGTCCCTGAGATCATCTTCTGAGGCCCTCCTTCGTGTGTCTCCTCCTCCAGAGGTCCAGAGGGTGGCAACACAAGAACGGGCCTTCTCTGCAGTGGCTCCCCATCTGTGGAATGCTCTCCCCAGGGAAGTTTGCCTGGCGCCTTCATTAT